TCTAATAGATTTGAAGAAAGAAATAGATGAATCTACAATAATAGTGGGTGATTTTAATACAGCTCTTTCAAAAATGGTTAAAACAACCAGAAAGAAACTTGACACAGAAGAACTAAACAGCACAATCAGCCAAGTGAACCTCATAGATGTGTACAGTGCATCCAATCCAACAACAGCACAATACACATTCTTTTCTAGTGGAAGTAACTCCAAAGAGGTTTAGAAATCATAGTGAAACAGTTCCCTGAAAACGGGAGACTGGGAAGGGACACATAATGAGACTTCAGTCTCCAAACTTCTGGTTGAATGATAGTGATAGCATTCTTGTGAGTTTTTATCTGGGAGTTAGGTTGGTGGTTTAGACTTCTCGGTACATGAAACCCGTGTTTATAGTGGTTGTTAATTCATTTGCTTGGACAGCAAAACAGGGAAAGAACAGCAAGGCTCATTTTTCTCAAATCAAACAGAAATAATTATGGCCTAAACGTTGACTCATTATTTTTAAGAACTAGCTCTATTTCTCCTTTTGGATGTTAAAAAAGAAGTTCTCATTTTCTCCTCCCATCTGAAGCAACTATTCCAGCCTGTTCCTATGGATGTCATTTTGTGACTGGTTATCGTCTCAAATAGGACTGGACTTAATTATTAAAAGTTGGATTGCAGAATTTTCCTTTCAAATAAGCTCAAATGGCCCATAAAGTTCTTTGTTCCTCAGGGCCTTCATTTTAAACCCATAATTAAGATGCAGGGTCTAGTATTTATTCATCCATCATATATTCATTGAAAAGCTTTTATGGTAGACTCTGATCGTTCAGTTACGAGTAAAGCAGACAGAGACCCTGTCCTGCTGGAGCTTACAATCTAATGAGAGAAACACATTAAAAAAATAAGTATGCACACAGTATTTAGTTAAAATCGTGATAAATGGTAAATAGAAAAATATGTACTACTGAGATGAATGTGACTGACAGAGAACCCAGAGGCTCCTTTGAGGACACTGCCTGAAGGGCACAATGGAGTCATCCATTGGAGGAGCACAGATGGGTGCTCCTGGCAGAGCCTTGCCCCAAGATGGCACAATGGAGAAAACAACAGAAGGGCATGGTCGAAGATGTTGGGAAGAAGCAGCCAGCGGTTAAATCACATAAAGCTTATTTACTTTAAGGACAGTGGGAAACCATGCAAAGTCTGTCAATGGACGAGTCATGCTAAAAATCAAGACTCGCAAGAAATCTAGAGATCATGGAATTTTTCCATATCTTCTATGGATGATGAATAAGTCAACACTCAGAATTTATAGTAATGAGACCTGAGGAGGAGAAGAAATACTGTGACTTCTTGAGCATCTTCTTTTCCCCAGATCCTCTACTAGGCACTTCTGCAACCACTCCTTGAAGAAAGACGTCATGTCCCCATTTTACAGATGAGGAAACACTCATGATGATTGTTGTTGTTGTTGTTGTCCTAAGTTCCATTGAGTTGGTTCTGATTCATAAAGACTCTGTATAGAGTTTCCAAGGAGTGGTTGTTGGGTTTGAACTGTCAAATTTATACTTAACAGTCAAGTGCTTATCCTACAGTGCCACCCCAGGTCTTATAATGATAGAGAGGAGAACTCAAACCAAGGTCTGGCTCCAAAGATCCTGTTCTTTCCATGTCAATGTCTGAGGAGCTTCACATGGAAATTCACTGGATTAGCAGAAACTGATTATTTAGGACATGAATCCTTTAAATTACCAGATTATCCAATTCCCAACTGATGTCTGCGTGTTGGTCTTTCACTGTTCCTCAATTCTTTCTACTTTAAGGGAGCAGTTCGTATGTGTCAGATTTGAATAATGTCGTCTTTATCATAGTGTTTCAATTTGTTTTCCACTTTAGTCTCACGTCCATGGGAAATAAGGAAATGACAAAAGGAAATCAACAGCTGTAGAGAATTTATTTTGGAACCAAACATTGTTTCTTGATTCCATTTCATGATATTTTCTCATGTAAAACTCGTAGTAGCTCTGTGAAGTAAATTTTCTCATATCCATTTTATAGATAAGGAAAGTGATGCTCAGATATCCTGCCCCCAGATCACTAAGGGAGAAAGGCAGGGCTGGAACCCTGTTCCATATCTCCAGAGCCCCTGCTTTTTCCTTCCTCATTGTCTTTGTTGTTGTTGTTAAGTGCCGTCGAGACCATTCTGACTCATAACGACCCTGTATAGGGTTTCCAAGAAGCAGCTGGTGAGCATGAACTGCCAACCTTGCAGTTCAAACCACTTTGCAGTCCAGCACATTAACCCACAGCGCCACACCAGGGCTCTTGTTTCTTTGGGAAGGTACAAATGATAAGAGCCACCATTTAGTAAGTTCTAACTAGGTGCGTGGTGTGGCGCTGTGGGTTAATGCGCTGGACTGTGAAGTCAGTATGAACCGCAAAGTTGGTGGTTGAAGCTCACCAGCTGCTCCTCGGAAACCCTATACAGGATCACTATGGGTTGGCACCGACTGAAGGGCACACAACAACTATGTGCCAGAAATTGTGCAGATGATTTTACATACACCATTTCATTAAAACCTCACAACTACCATTGGGTGTCGATTCTATTGCCCCTTTTACAGAGTAGATACTGAGGGTCAGATAGATTGTCATTTCATTCAAGGCCACACAGCACATTGAGCAGTGATACGGAAAACCCATCTGTCTCTAATGCCCATGGTGCGAATGACCTACAGTGCCCTATGGGATGATGTGTGTAGGCCGGGAAGAGAAAAGATACTTCAGAGAGGAAGATACTGGCATGGTTCACACAGTAGAAACAAGACTGGAGCTATGTAGTCTTACCCAAGGGACAGTGCTACTAAGAGCTAGAGAGCTCTTTGCTTTTTTACTAAGTAGCTCGGTGGTGAGTACCTCTGGAAATCTCAGTACTGTGGATGCAGTTCTATCATCGTGGGAGGCTAGCAACTTAACACAGACTAAAAGGAGCTTCTTTCTTTTAACACTTGATCAGGACTCTACCTCTGAGGACCGTGACAGTATTCCACCTACTACATGCAACGTACAGTTAGGAAATTGTAAGAAAAACTTTGCATGGATAGACGATTGTAACCCCTTAAGCCAGTGAAACTGTTAGGAAGGAACTATCCCTTTGCCTTTTGTTATTGTGGCTTCTTTGGGGAATTTCCACTGACCACAACTGGCGACTCTAACGCCAACCCTCAAGTGAAAATATTAAGCAAAGATCCAGCCAGGCTCCTGGGTCTTTGTTTAACTTTACAAAAGTGCTACAGGCAGGGAAACCAGAACCTGCATGAAAGCTGGCTTCAGACGATACGGAAATAGGTCTACAACTTTGCATCCCACTCTTGGCCTGGCTTCTGGGGTTCACACTTCTCCTCCCAGCTGTCCCCACTTGGTGTGCAATTGGGGGTGGGGCCTAGAGTCAGGCACCCTGTCTATGAGGTGGAGAACCCATGGCTGGCCCCAAATCATATCCATCTAGGAGCACTTCCCTAGAATAAATATTTAAGCTTGTGTCAGACTCTCTATTAATGTGAGGGTGAGTCAATGCATAGAACTTTCCACACATTTGATCAACAGTAAACAAGTATTGAGCAAACAACTCTATTGATAAGGATTTCTCTTAACCTTTGGCATGAACATCCTTGTTGTTAGGGAAGCTGTAGGATCAAGGAAACTGAGGCATAAATCTATCCTGTGGTTTATATGAATTTATTTCTTGAAACCAGATCCTGTGCACATTTTTCCTTTCTACTTTTAGGAAGACTGAAGACATGTAGCCCCTAGTCTGCACCAGTTTCTAGCAAACCTATGACAAAAGGCAAAGTCTGTCTTCCAGGCCTTTCCTCAAGACTCCCCTAAGGAACTGCTGAGGGCTTCCCATCAATCAAAATCTTCAACACAGTCCTTTGGTCTTGAAAAGTTCCTGACTTATTGAACCAGCTCTTTTCAGGAAGGAGATTGGGGAATCTTACAGCAACAGCAATCATTCTCTTAAATGAGGCTTATTTGTGATTGAAGGAAACCCTGTTCTCCTCCTTTGCCCCATCTAAATTCTGTCCAAGCCTCAAGGCCTAGCTCAGTCTTCACAGTCTGCACAGATCTCTTGTCCACTGGGAGCACTCATTGCCTTAGACTCCAGTGACAGTAATTGTTGAAACCCCTCTCTTGGCACTTGGATGTTTTCATGCTATACGCTATAGCACAAACACTGCCCTGTTCATCCCATGGTGTCCAAAACCACACTTTATTTATTAATTACAAAGTGAGCGACAGAGCTTTCTAACATTCATAATCCTTAGATGACCTACACTGCACAACAAGAGGGCAGTTTCTGTAGCTCTATCTTTTATAAAATCCCCTTGGTTCTTCCTCCACCCTCTTGTCCAAGACTGCATCTATAAAAGATGGCATTTTTTGTTCCATCACATTAGCAGGTCTGGGTAAAAAGCATCATTAGGATCAATTTAGCTTCTGTAATGAACAGAAGATCTTTAATTTTACAATTGTTCGCCTCAGCAGGCATTAATTAAACTCAGACTTTGCAGACATCCAGACCAAGCCTTACTCCTAAGCTATGATTTTTACTCACCTTATTAAAAGGTCCAAATGTAATAAAAATTCCCATAGCCTGAAGAGCTACAAAGATTGTAAAGGGGCATATTCAGTTGATCCTCAGATCACCCCCTCCCACTCCAGTGCTTCTTGGATCTAGCAGTTTGGAAAGACTCATTGTAAAGGCATAGTAACAACAGAACGTGGAACACAATCCAGAAAACACCTCCATGAGTGGGTTGCTGAGGAAGGCCATTCACTTCTCCAACACTGAGGAAGGAGGTCAGCAAGCTCATCTTACTAAACAAACCATCTTTTGAAGTTCACAGCTATCTGAACTTTCCTTGTGAAAACAGAAGAGCAAAGTGTTTTAGTAGATGGTAAAATGAATTTCCTCCATTTCAGAACGATGTTTATCCTATGCTCTTCAGACCCGAGGCTAACTCATTGAGTATGAAACTAAGAAAGAAGAATAGCTTTCATTTAAGTGAGCTGGGTGGGTGCTCTCTCAGGCAAACACTTTTGCATACTTTGAAGACAAACTTTATTGTTTTAAAGTCTGTAAAACTCTTTAATGTGTACCTTGCATGTTAGGATGATTATTTGGTAGGTGGTAGTGATGGTGATGGTTGTGTGCTGTTGAGTGGGTTCTGACTTTAATAGGGTTGACGAGGCTGTAAATCTTTACAGGAGCAGAAAGCCTCATCTTTCTCCTGAGGAACAGCTGGTGGCTTTGAATTGCTGACCTTGTGGGTAGCAGCCAAATGTGTAACCCGCAACACCACCAGGGCCCTTTTATTTGGTAGGAAGATAAGTCAAAAAGTATTGCTACTAGGGTTCCAGTTCATATATTGTTGTTATTAAATGTCATTGAATTGGTTCCGTCTCATAGTAACCCTGTTCCTGAGGAGCAACTGGTGGGTTTGAACTGCCAACCTTGGATTCTCAGTCCAGAGCTTATCCTACATACCACACTAGGGTTCCAGTTCATACATACGCAGGTTTATTCCAAACAGAATGTGTTTAAACACGTCTCTGTGATCAGTGGATGGCTGTAGACAAGTTCTCTTGGTAATACACTTGTCTTAGTCTTGTTAGGGTGCCAAAAAGTGACTTCCAAGATCTGCTGGATCAGTCCAATTCAAGGCAGAGAGGTAAGGTTAGAAAGTTATGGTGACTTTTGCGGGGAATCCCCTCAAAATGGGAAGTACCCAAAAGGGTAACCTTGATGGATTTTTCTCAAAGATCACAGGATGATCACAGGGGCTTATTATGAAGAAGTTTTAAAATAACTCAAAACTACTTTGGTGAAAAAAAGATGAGAAAAGTTGCACCGAGGAATTTTTCTCCTTCTGACAATGCACTGGCTTGTTCTTTTAGGGTAGCAAGGGCTGTCCTGTGAGAATTTCACTGGGAAACCTTACTCAAGTCACCTTACAGCTTTGATCTTTTCTCTTCAAACTTCTTTTTGTTGCAAAATCTTAAAGAACAATTAAAAGAAATATAATTAGAGTCCCTCAAGGATGCCCAAAACTGCTGTTTTCACTTGGTATACACAAAAGAGTGCAGAATTCTTCAGGGAAGGGTTAGAGATGGAAACACCACCTTCAGAAGTATACAGGCTCCAGAAGGAGGATGTGTTAGGCAACAAAAGCTTCACATCTTATTTCATCAAGGTTTCTTTGATTTTGTACTAGTACTTTTTGACTTGCCCTCATACAATGTATGAGTGTACTTAAAATTATATTTGCATTCCAGAAAAACATGTACAATATTAATTTTTAATTCAGAGTCTGTAGAATTGAAATCCATCAACAGTGACATCCATTGATGCAATAAACATGCTGGTTGGTTTCAAGTGTGGAATGGAATTTAGTTGGGAATTGGGACTCCTTTTAAACATTATATTAATAAATTGGGAGATTAAATTGTTACACAATTCACGGGGCTAACACTTGTAGTCCATGCTGAGGCATGGGTATGACACGCACTGTCTAGCTGTTTCTAAAAGCAATGGTTCACTGAGTCTTTCATCTTGCTCTCTGCCCTCAGCTGTTAACAGCTAATGTGGCCCTTTTATGAGAGGCTGGGCCTATCCCTGAACACAGACCTCAACGCTTTTCACAAGAAAAGGAGTCAAAGCCTTTTGCAAAGCAGGCAAACCTAGATTTGGGACATGGAAAAAGTGATATACTTAGGACATTATTGTTTTTTTTTTTATCTAATTTTATCTATTATCTAATCTTTTAAAAATGAGGTTAATTGCATTAAATTGGCATTTATATAGTTCTTCATGGGTATCAAATGTGCCTTTCTATCGAATTTTTCTTTGAAATCTGTCCAAAAGTTGACAGGAAAGAATTATTGACCTTGGTCAGTATTTTCAGTATATTTGATTAAAAACAAGACCAGTGGTGGCTGATGGGAACTCAAGAATGTACAAGGTTCAGTCCTTGTCCAAAAGGAGTAGCAGCAATAGTATTAGGAGCAGGAGTTGTTGTTAAGTGTCACTAAGTCGGTTCTAACTCATAGCAACCTTGTGTAGGGTTTCCAAGGAGTAGCAGGTAGATTCTTACTGCCAGTTTTGTGGTTAGCAGTCCAGTGCTTACCCTATACTACACCAGAACTTCAGGAGTAGGAGTAGCAATAATACTAACAAAAATAGTAGTAATAGCTACCATAATGTAAGGACTGACTGCATATCAGACATTTTCATAAGTGCTTCCTGCTAAAGCCTTTCTGAGACATTCCTTGGGAGCTTATTTGTAGTGAAGGGCATAGTCTTTGTTTAAGGTGTGTGAAATTTGAAGTAGGCTGGGTCAACAGTGATTAGCTATCTATAGACAATTCATGTCTGTCTAGTTCTGCCTGAAAGGTAAACTCTTATTGATCTTACCAACTGTGTACATATGCATTTGTGTGTTTTATTTCACTGAATCATCCTAAAATCATTTGAGTCAATGTTTTTTATTATCTTCATTGTACCGAAAAGAAAATTGCAATTCAGAGGTTTAATGACTTATCCAAGTCTGTGTAGCCAGTAGGTGATGGTGTCTGGATCTGAAAGCAAATCCATTCAGAGTCCAAATCTGTCTCCAGAATCCTGTACTTGAGAATAATAACTGCGCGTCATTGAAGAGTTGCCAGCTTCTAGGCACTCTGCCATAGACCCTACCTATATTGTTTCATTTAGTCTTCTCAACACAACTACTTTATACAGTAGGTACTATTGTTATCCCACTCTTATAAAGGGATAAGCATTGCACTGCTAACTACAAGACTGGCAGTTCAAACCCACCAGTCACTTCCCAGGAAGAAGATGCTCCCACAAGGTGACCCTACATAGGGTCACTATGAGGTAGAATTTATTTGATAGCACTGGTTTGGGTTGGGTTTGATTTTATAGATGAGGAAATGGACACTCAGAGGGGTTACAGAATTTGCTTAAGGCGACATTGCTTATGAGTGAGTTGACCCAAGCAATTTGATTCCAAACTCATTGTGTTAAACTGCTTCTCAATATCGGTTCTCAGATTTTTCTCACATTTTTCACACGTGGTCTGATAAGCTTAAGGGCTTTTCAGGGGCAGAGGCCAGGTGCTTACTGGGCCAGGGCCAGGACCCAACTCTTCACATTGGATGATGCTTGAAGCATGCGGTGGTCTTAGTCTGGTCTTCTCAATGGGCCAATTATTCTTTCATCTCAAACCTTCTCACCTCTGACATCAGATTTAGGAAGTTGTACAGCTTTCTTCCACTCTAGGGATTTCCCTTCAGCAGTTCCTCAGCCTCCCCTCTGATACAGTGCCTGGGTGGGAGAGGGGTCGTCTGCCTCCCGCTTGCATAGTCATCATCAGTTCAGACAAACTGATTACCCTCCAGTCTGTCTGCTAATAACCAAGGGACCACTACATCCATTTCATGCCATCCTGACTTTCTACCTTTTAAAGCCAGACATTTCAAACTAATAGAAGCCACAGTCCCAGACAAATCCTGTGTAACCCCCTCTCACTGATAAATTTCACGTTAGTCACTGTAATGCATCCCTTCCAGATGTTTTAAGTTAAGATTGGAAAAGTTGTGTTTTTACTGGATTGAATCACAGTGCTTGGCTGACATGGTTTGGCCCCTTATGCACTCCCTAGATTTATCAGCTAATTGCAGACACTTTTAAGAAAATAGTACAGCATGTGTTTATTATGACAAACATGTTAGAATATCTTTGTGGTAAAAGATACACTGACTTTTTTTTCTTTATAGAGCACATGGTACTAAGTGCTAGGATTAATTCCAAAATATTGATTCAAAGTCAGTTTACATGGGTGAAAATTTCATTTAGGTGTTTTGGTGGAGTTTGGGGAATAGTTACTTGCCCCAGTAACTCAGGGTTTTCTTTCTTGAACTGTTCTGAAACCTTTAGTTCTGGATGATAAAATGATTTATTGTTGTGTGCAGATGAGTTGGTTCCCACTCATGGCAACCCTGAATAGGGTTCCCAAGGAGCAGCTGGTGGGTTTGAACCACCAACATTATGGTTATAGACCAACGTTCATCATATGGTGCCACAACAGAATATGTCAAATGCCTGAGGAATTTTATTTAAAAGCTTTTTTTTCTTTTGTTTTATTAAAATAGCTCTGTGTTCTTATGTTTCTCCATCGGGTTAATTTTGTTTTTTCAAATGTGGCCTGTTGGAAGAAATATGCCTGAAGAGGCCTTTCAGGCAGTAGAAGCCCCAGTGGCAGCATGTTGTGGGTAGACAATCATCAGAACCCAGTACAGCAGTTGGATCTGGGAACTTGATCATTGTGCACCAGGTTCCTGGCAAGTCCTGTCCTAGGACATTGCTTTGCACAATGCAGGATGACTAATGGATATTAGAGTTAAGAACCTAAAAGGACTGATTGACTATAGGAAAAGGGAGGAAAAAGAAGCCAGCAAGGAAATACAAATACATCCTTGGAGACCCTGACCCCCAACCAGAGGACCTTGGGTTAGAGGTCAGGGTTGATACCAGATCCCCAGAGCCAGGTGTGGGAAGACAGCTAACAGAGACATAGGCTGCGATGGGCAGCTGAGTAAGCCAGAGGCAGAGGAAATAAGACAGAACCAGACAAAAACAAACCAATTAGTTCTTCCCATGGAATCGAGAGGAAACTGAAAACAAATAGGAGAATTAAAGTATGAAAATACCATGAAAATGTATATACAGCGTGGGAAGGAATGTCAGAAAAAGTAGCTGGGAAATCTGAGTTTTAGAGTTGTCAAAAGGAAAAAGAAATGTCGCTTTTTATGACCTTTATTATATAAGGAGCTCTGGTAGCGTAGTGGTTACGAATCGGGCTGCTAACCTCAGGGTCAGCAGTTCCAAACTAGCAGCTGTTCCGTGGGAGAAAGATGAGGCTTTCTGCTCCGGTAAAGATTTATAGCCTCGGAAACCCTGTGTGGGGTTGCTATGAGTCGGAACCAGCTCCACGGCATAGGGGAAGAGGAGTCCTGGTGTGGCGCTGTGGGTTAATGCGCCGGACTGCAAAGCCGTTTGAACTGCAAGGTCAGCGGTTCATGCTCACCAGCTGCTCCTTGGAAATCCTGTACAGGGTCGCTATGGGCCAGGATCGACTCGACAACACTTAACAACAACATAAGGGAAGAAAAATCACCACCACTGCCATCAAGTCCATTCCGATTTAAAAAGACCCTATAGGACAGAGTAGGTTTCTGTAACTATAAATCTTTATGGGAACCCATTTGAACACATTCAGACCGACTCCTGCAGAGTGGCTAGTGGGTTTGAACCGCTGATCTTGTAGTTAACAGCCCAGTGCTTAGCCCACTATACCACCAAAATGACTGTAAAGAAACTGCTTTCAGTGACTAAATGTTAATATTTTATCATCTGTACATCAAATAAAGATTTTCTTAAACATAATACTCATTTCATTTCCTAATGCTTCTCTCTGAGGACGCCCAGATTTCTCCCTGGAATGGGTAAATATTGTCTTACCTGAGAATTGGGTTTGCTTTTTATCTTGAATGAGTGTGTGTATGTCCTTATCATTTGCTACTAGAAAATGTGGGTCAATGAGCCATTCCTAGCAAGGAACTAATAAGCTCCTCGCAGAATATATTTTAATGTGCTATTGTCACGCCTTGCTTTGTCTTCCTATCTTCCCTAAAATTCCTTTCCTCCCCTTTTATAATACATTGTATATTTCATTGTGTCTTTTATCTATGTATTACTTAAGCTGGAACAAAGAGGTATACATCAATGTATCAGTTGCTGCCAATAAATGGGCGTTTTTCAATGCTAAAAGAAGCTTTCTTCTTCTATAGAGTTTAAATTAATTAATTATACCACATCTAATTGCTTTAACAAATGCCTCTTTCACAAATAGAGAAATGGTTTCCTTCAGCTCTCTGAATCATCATAAATCCCAGATTGAGTAAGGTCCAAATAAAGATACTGCCTTTGGTTGGTAAATGAACTCAGTGCCCTGTACTTGTTTGAAATGTTTGGTTGAAATCTCAGAATGAATATGTTTAGTCCCTGGATTATGACAGAGACCCATTCCTCATTGTGTTTTGAAGAATTTGTAGATAATTCCGAGTAAACACATGATTTCTAGCCTCACTTTAGTACAAGTAAAGACTTGAAGTCTTTTCAATGATTGAAGAGGTGCACATGCAGCAAGTGACATAGTGTTTGTTGGGAGCAGGGGTTGGTTGGTTCAATCCTTTGAAATGATAACACATTTACATTACATTAAAGGACAAGTAGGAATTGTGTATAGGTCCAGCATTCTTAACCTGGGCACTGCCCACAGTCTACAAGAGTCTACAGAAGCTTAAACTCCACCAGTCAAATATCCTGCTCTGGCCAGGAGAAATCTTTGTTGTTGATGCTCTGTGGGGTGTTGGGAGTCCTAAGACTCTCAACTCAACTATACAAGACTCTTACTTGGGAAGAAGAATACATTTCCCATTTCAGTAAGGCTCAAGGAAATGCTCCTAGTGAATGAGGCACAGTGAGCAGCCTTCAGAACTCTCTTCCACAAAATCTTTCCTGACTCTAAAAGAAAAGGGAACTCTAAGTAACCTGAAAATGCAGATTCTCTGGGGAGTTGTCCAGCTCTATCTTACCTGTCCAGCTTTATCTAATATCTATTATTTCTATTTTTCAAGCTCCTTTTGTTCCAGCTAAAGAGGTATCTTTTTCTGTTTGGCACCTTGGCTCATGCCATCCCCTGCTTGGCGCCTAACCTTACCCTAACCTTCTCCTCTCCAATGGACTGAATCCTACCCCAAGGCTCACCTCTTTCATGGAATCCCCACTGATGTACCAGTCCTCTTTGCCCTAATTCTTCGTGTTTGCCCCTCACTCTGGCACCTACTACACATGTCCTGATGTTATTTATCTTTCAAATTGAAAGCTCCATTTCCTCAACTATATATTGTTGTTGTTGTTAAGTGCCGTCAAGTTGATTCCAACCCATAGCAACCCTGTGTAGGGTTTCTGAGGAGCAGCTGGTGAGCTTGAACTGCCAACCTTGCAGTTCAAACGGCTTTGCAGTCTGGCGCATTAGCCCTCAGCGCCACACCAGGACTCCAACTATATATTGTTGTTGTTGTTAAGTGCAGTTGAGTCAATACCCCCCTTAAAATTAGGACTGATATTTTATAGGCTTAGTGTGTGTTATGAGTGAATACGTTTTATGGCTTTTGGTTCACCCAGAAGCGCCTGATTCATTCAATGTTTGGCACCAATGATAATAATAGATACTAACTTACCCTCCACACACGTACACATACACACATTCAACCAAATAGCCTCAAACCTCGATATCTTGGTAGTTTAAAACAAAACTCAAATATTCTGTTTTAACAAAATAAGTTGCACCTGATTTTTCACTTTTATTCCTTCTCCTTGTAGATTTTGAAGAAGTCCTGCATTGAAATTCTAGCAGCTGAACCATCCACTATCTGTGCAGGAGGTAAGTAGATTTTAAACCATTGTTGTTCCCTTAATACTCATGATATATTGCATTTTAGTCACATGTTTACTTAATTTGGCAGATGGGGCAGAGGGAGGGAGGGTAGGAAGAGTGGTAAAAATTGCTAAACAAGAATTGCTTCTAGGAAGAAAGAAGAAAAGAAAGATGAGCATGTCAGTTTAAAAGTTTGAAAAGGTCTGTCCAAATTATCTCCTTCCTTGGGACCAAACTACCAGAGAATTGCCGAGATACTGGAACCCCAAACATTACCATAATCAACACCCTGCTTCTGGAAAAAAATCTAAGTCTTCATTTTCATGGCAGTCCTACAAATACCAGAAGATCATACTGAGCACAGACCACCCCTGAAATTTTGATACACATAATTATTTAATTGGTGCAGGCCTTTTCTCATAATTAATCTATTTATCTTAATCACTCAAGCTCCCAGTCCTCACAAAATGGTAGCAGATAACTGCAGTTGTACAAGTAAAAGGACTGTTATCATTTTCTCATTAATTATTAATTATTAATTTTTGTTAATAATTGGTCTTCTTTAGTCCCAGTAGTTTCTCTGATTGATAAACATTTGAGTCTTACTCTTATTTTTATGCTAATGGACTGCCTAAATCTTCAGCAAAGCTGGCTAGTATTGTGTAGCAATTCCTGAAACTTTCCAACCCCTCTTCTTTCTTTCATCTAAAAATCACCAATCTCTGACTGAATAGAATTTCACTCCTACGGAATGTCCTCCAGAAATGCGCACATTTACTATAAAGTCACTGTTAATACCACCCCCTGTTCCCTTTCTAGTGTCCCAAAACACCAGTGTCAGTTATTAATCTATAAACAGAAACACGTCACACAACCTTGATAAGACAATAGTATTGAAGGGAGAATGTTTAGGCATTTCCCACACTGTACGTTTTATTGCTATATGACATATTTTATTAGGATAAATGAAGGAATTCCTTGAAGATTGCATTCCAGAGTCTAGGCTATCTTTTAAAACAGCTGCAAAGCTTTCAAGGAGCTAGATGCACTGAATTATCTGTGCCAACTTAAAAACGTTAAAGAAACAAACAAAAAATAGACTTCAGATTAAATCCTACCCGGGCACAGAGACATCAGGGACAATTGTAGCTACCATAGGAATAGACTTTCTTTAAGAAAAATAAATTTTAAATCTCACTTCTGCAAATGTGACAAAGCATATGACTTCATGAATCTGGCACTAGGATCCCCTGGGCAGTAATAAGCCTCGGTTAGTCTTGTTAGCCTCAAGGTCAGTCCTCAAGACTTCAGGTGCTTCTTGCAAAGTCAGGCAGTAGGATATTTAGATTATTTTTATATTCTGTATGGGACATTTCTTTGAAAAACTTTTTTTATGTGAATTGGTAAGACTTACAAAGCAGAACATCAGTTTTACATTCAACAGTTCATTGACATTTTGTTTCATCTAATTGATTACAATCCTCTCGATGCAACATCGCTTATCCTACTTCCTCCCCCTGTTTCTTATTTCCATTCCTTCTTCTTTGCTAACTCTTTCAAGCTTTGCTCTCCCATTGATCTCACTGGTTGGTTAATCTAAGGTATGTGTACTGGTGTTATTGCTCCCCGAATGCACCTGTCTTATGCACCTCCCTTATGCATATTTGGCTAGAGCCAATATATGACTATCAATCTATCCCACCTGACTTTAGAGACCATCTTGAGAACAGATTTTATATATTAGACAGTAATGGCCATAAAAACAGAAGAGTTGTGGCATGACATTAAGAATATCATGCATGAAGAAACCAAAAGGTCATTAAAAAGACAGAAAAAAGACCAAAGTGGATGTTAGAAGAGACTCTGAAATTGCTCTCCAGCATAGACATGCTAAAACGAATGGAAGAAATGAGGACATAAAAGTACTGGACAGAAACTTCCAAAGAGTAGTTTGAGAAGACACAGTAGAATATTCTAATGAAATGTGCAAGGACTTGGAGTCAGAAAACCAAAAGGGAAGAATGTGCTCAGGGTTTCCCAAACTGAAAGAAGTGAAGGAAAAAAATTCAAACCTCAACTTGAAATATTGAAGGATTCTAGGGAGTCCTGGTATAGTCCTGTAGGATAAGCACTGGACTATAAGGTTGTTTGAACTGTAAGCTTGGTGGTTCAAGCTCATCAGTTGCTCCTTGGCAACCCTATACAGGGTCACTATGTGTCCGAACTGACTTGGCAGCACTTAACAAAAACAACAATGGACAAAATAATGAATGATGCAGGAAGCATCACAAGAAAATAGAAGGAATGCATAGAGTCACTGTACCAAAAAGAATTGGCTGATGCTTAACCATTTCAAGAGGTAACATCTAACCAAGATCCAATGGTGATGAAAGAAGAAGTACAAGCTAAGCAAAGGCATTGGTTAAAAAAAAAAACAAGCCCTCTAGAAATGCCAGAATGTTTCAACAAACTGATGCAATACTGGAGGTACTCACTCATCTATGCCAAAGAAATTTAGAAGATAGCTACCTGGCCTCATAGTTAGAAGAGATCCATATTTGTGCCCACTCCAAAGAAAGGTGACCCAACAAAATGTGGACATTAACAATATCATTAATATCAAGTAAAATTTTGGTGAAGATAATTCAAAAGTAGTTGCAGTAGTAGTACGTTGATTGACAGGGACTGCCAGAAATTCAAGCCAAATTCTGAAGGTGACATGGAATGAAGGGAATCATTGCCAACCAGATGGATCTTTTTTTAAAGTTATTATTGTGAATTGAGTGATCGTTTACATGGGAGAACATCAGCTTTGCACTCATCCTATTGTATTTCTTTTCATTGCAATGATTACAATCCCTTCCATGCATCATCATTCAACAGTATTTGCTTCTATTCCATCTGGGTGTTTTTTGTTTTGTTTTTTATGTACACCAAAACACTGAGGGATATACAATCATTCAAACACTCAAAGGGCATACCCTGCAAGCCTCCCCCCACAGCTGCCAGCACACAGCCCCTATCCGTCCATGAGTCTAGAGTCCCCAGCCACTCCATTTCTCCACGTCATCATCTATACCTCCATCAAATGGATCTTGACTGAAAGCAGAGAATACCAGAAAGATGTTTGTTGTCAGTTCCTACTCAAAAGTTATCCACTGGATGGTGTCCCATAGAGTTCTTAAACTGTCTTCATTTTCTTTTCTGTTGCTTGTTTTGATTCTCTCTATTTCTCTTTTTTTTCTTTTCCCACCTGATGTTAGATAGCAGCCATGCCTACATGGTACAGCCACATGCATAACTCCTGCAGTCGCACCTTCTGTAAGGGCCACTATCCACTCCTCCACCAACTGATGATCAGTAGACCATAGCCACCATTAGCCAAATTCACCCTCAACGGTGCTACATGAACAGTGAACAGAGAGAAATTCATACACGCTTACATCTAAGAACACATCACCATGCAATCATCAATTAAATACAATTGCAACACCACTAGAATGTATCGGAGAAAACAGACTATTTCCGCTCACAGCAAGATACAAGACTCAAGCAAGCTCAAACAAGCAATCAAAATACAGAGCCAGACTTTTCTGAGGAAAAAGTGGTTTTGGAACTATCTGATAAGGAATTTTTTAAAATTATATTTTCGTACCTTCAACAGATTGAGAAAAAAGATCACGAAAACTGTAGGCAAAATCAAGGAAAACACAAACAAAACTTGAGAAGAATTCAAGAAAACACTGTAAGGGCAAACTGATTAAATAAATGAAATAATTAGAAACCATACAAACAGCAAAAGGAAATCCAGAAGATAAATAATAAGATTTCAGAAAGAAACACTAATTGAAAGGGCAAAGGACTAGAAATAAACTAATGGGAGGAAAAATTATTGAGCTTAAGAAAACTCTTTTCACTCACTCACTCACTGCCATTGAGTTGATTCCAACTCATAGCTACCCACTTTAGAGTCCCCAGGCTGTCAATCTTCACAGGTGCATAAAGTCTCAGCTTTCTCCCATGGAGTGACTGGTGGGTTAATAATTCTACTGGCTATCATGTGACACTGCAGGATAACACGCTAGACCTTAAGGCCAGTTTGAGCCGCAAGGTTGGCAGTTCAAACCCACCAGCCACTCCTCGGAAACCATGTACAGGGTCACTATGAATCAGAAGCAAGTCAATGGCATTTAACAACAGCAACAACAAAAGCAATCATATTATAACCTTCTAATAATCAGGAAGTCTAAAAGCAATGAATGCTATTTCTACTTAACTACACTTACCTAAGACTCCTCACTAATATTACAGTGGGTTTCTTTTACTTTCTTTCTTTTTTTGTTTTTTGTTTTAACTTTTTATTGTGAATTGAGTGCAGGTTTACAGAGTAGATCATCAGTTTTATACATTCAACACATCTAGGTTTTACATTTAGGTTTTTGATCCATGTTAAGTTCCTTTTTGTACATGGTGTGAGATATGGATCCTGTTTCATTATTCTTTAAATAGATTTCCAGCTTTGCCAACTCCATTTGTTAAAAGAGACTATTTTTTCCCCAATTTAGTGTGTTTCAGCCCTTTACCAAAGATCAGCTGGATTTACTGCTGGGTTATCAATTCTGTCCTATTGGTCTGTGTTTCTTTCATTATACCAATACAAAACTGGTTTGAATACTGTGCCTGTATAGTTAGTTTTGAGATCGGGAAGTGAGAGGTATTATACTTTGTTTTGTTGTGTTGTGTTTTTTTTATTTAGTACTGCTTTGCTTTTCTGGGGTTTATTTCCTTTACATATAAAGTTGGTGGTTAGGTTTTCCTTTTCTTTAAAGTAGGATGTTAGAATCTGGGTTGAAATTGCATTCTATCTATAGGTTGGTTTAGGTAGATCATTTTCACTTTCCATCCATGAGCATGGTATATTTTTCCATTTTTGTAGGTTTCTTTCCATTTCTTGTAGTTGTGTTTTGTGATTTTCTGTGTATAAATTTCTCTGCCTAGATTTATTT